GGCGGAGGTGGAGGCCTTGGTGGAGGTCATGGCGGAGGTGGAGGTCTTGGCGGAGGTGGAGGTCTAGGTGGAGGTCATGGCGGAGGCCTTGGTGGAAGTCACGGTGGAGGTCTAGGTGGTGGCCTCGGTGGAGGTCACGGAGGAAGTGGTGGAGGTGCATTCGGAGGTGGTAGTGGAGGCGCTAGTGCAAATGCAAATGCACAAGCTAGTGCCGGAAGTTCCGGTGGAGGCGGAGGCGGAGGTTGCGGCGGAGGCTGCGGTGATGGTGGCTATGGCGGTCATAATGGTCACGGCGTAGAGTAGGTTATTGATAATTCTTCATCATAAATAGACATTAATCAAGCTCATACGTTTAAATTGCACAAAGCATAAACATACAAAATATTCCCTAAAAAATATTGACCTTTACCGTCTTCATTGAATGATTCTATTTTTAAATAACATTGAACAACAATCATTAAAGTGAATCGCTTTATGGATTTCTTGGAAGTACGATCGATCAATTCAAATTGCTCTTAAAGACTATAATTTTAGTTAATATATTCATTTGTATAATTTACTTGCGTGTGGATATTAAAATCGATGAATTTAAAGTTATAGTTGTCCAATGATCTCTGCTCTAAGGCAGAGTTTTTTTCTAAAGGAATTCGTAAACGATTACGTTAATTATTATCTAATGTGTTGTTTCTTGCAGCTTTCCTTCTATTATAATATTATTTTAATAAAACACATTTTATATGTATTTAATAATAATAATTATATATATTTAATGTTTCTGATGATTTTTATTTAATTTTCAGTGTATTCTCCCGTCTGGGTGACGTAAATGATGGAATAAGTCATAGTGGTGGCGTGGATGGTGCAAAAGGTGTTTACAGTAGTAGTGCTGCAAATATTGATTCGTCCGGTAAAGGAAGCTACAAAGTGTCTGCTGGAAAAATCCCATGAATCACTCAAGTGAAAATTAAAAAATTTACTGGAAAACTTTAAAAATTAAAACAATTATCTTTGTATTAGGTTGATGCGTATGAAATGTCGGATTTTAAAATGAATATATAAAATTGCATATCTTTTTTTCAAAACCTGTTTATTTAATCAAAATAAACTCTATTTAATTTAAAACACTTTTCCCAACGAGATTTTAACCCTTTCACTACGGGCGTGTTTACCGCAGCGGTACTCCTGCTGAACGGGTTGCTGCAACGCGCAGCAACAAAACTGCACTTTCAATTTTTTCGATAAAGGTCACTTGAAGGTTTACATATTGCACCTCCTAGGATTCGTTTTTTTATAAGCTATAAGACTGCGGTAGTGAAAATATGCAATCCCATTTAAAAAAAATACGATGGTCTTGAAATCTCGAAAAAAATGACCTTTAGAAAAAAATTCGACCATCACCGTATTGGCGCCTTCGAACAGAATTTTTTTCCCTCTGACATTTTTTTCTATAGTATGAAATAAGCGATATAGTTAAGATGGTTAGGCGAAAGATCCTGTATATTATTTTAATGAATAGTTGCTTTTTAAATGAAGAATTGTATAAATGATAAGATAGAATATTTTATATTATATAAAAAAAAATTATATATATATATATATAAAATATTTTTATCATTGATTTTTTGAAATGGGTACATTATAAAAATAAATTTTTTCAATTTAATATCATATTTATGTACATAATACGATAATTAACATTGATCTGAACCTTCTTATAGTAATACTTCTATATAAGAAATTATAAAAGTTTTTTAAGGTGTAAAAAAACATGCAATTA